CCTCCTCCTCCTCCGCTCCTCCCTCCTCCTCCTCCTACTCCTCTTCCCCTTCTCCTCATCCTCCTCCTCCTCGCCTCCTCCTTCTCCTCCTCCTCCTCTCATCATCATCGCAGCATCATCACCTCATCCTCCTCCTTCCTCCTCATCCCCTCCTCCGCATCCTCCTTCTCCTCCTCTTTCTCATCCTCCATCCCCCTTCTTGTTGTTTGCCTCGTCCTCCTCCTTCTTCTCCGCCTCCCCATACTCATATTTCTCTTCCTCTTCCTCATCCTCCTCCTCCTCCTCCTCTTCTTCTTCCTCCTGATACTCATCGTTATCCGCCCCCTCCGCCTCCTCCTCTGCCTCCTCAGCCCTCCTTCTTCCCCACCACCTCGAGTCCTCATCTTTGCATCCCTCCTGTTCGCATACACCCATCCTCTTAGTATTCCTCCTCCCCTCCTCCTCCTCCCCTCCTCCTTCTCCTCCTCCTCCTCGTCCTCCTCCTGCTCGTTATGACCCCCCCTGCCGCACCACGAGACATGTCGGTGGGTCGTGCAGGGCGATTCGCTGCAGAATTGTTCGCCGCTCCAACATTGAAGCTTGAAGTTCCCAGCAACTATAAGCACAGAGGCCGAGAGGTCTTCAAAAAGCGTGTTGCGCTTTAGCGCCGCGTGCATTCGTATTAATGTGTACCGCAGCTCCAAGGACGGCGACCAGCTCGTCTTCGAGTTGGGGCTCTCGCATCAGCTCCGCGCACACTCGCATCTAAAGATCACAGCAGTGCAGGGATGGACGGCCAGTGGTTTTCAAGACTGGGTTCTCATGTGAAGCCCCCGAACCTTTGGATTCCTGAAGCTTGGAATGTGTATCAGCTGCACGGATGGAGCGGGTCCTTTTCGAAGCGGGGTTCTTGCCCCAGGCGTTTTAATATTGGATGACCAGACGCGCACTGTGTTGCAGTACTTACACGGGTGGAGGGCGGTTCTTTTCTCCAAGCCAGCGCTCCTTTTGCACACCTCGCTGGACTGTGCCAGCTTGCATGCTGGCATGCCTCCCGCCATTCGCCAGGGGGGATGAAAGACACTATTTCCAAATTGTGGCGTTCGGTTGAATGGCAGGCCCATCGGGTACTCGTCTTTCAGGGTGGGAGGGGGGGGGCTTCCTGCAGTGAGCATGGAGGCGTGTGAGACCTTAATTATGGCAGGGACTCAGGACGGGAGGGTGTATTGCAGCACCGCTGGTGCGTCTGGAGTTTCTTATGGTCCTCCTCGGCCTCCTCTTGTCGTTTATCCTCCTCCTCCGCCTCCTCCTCCTCCGCCACCTCCTTCCTCTCCCTCTCCCTCCCCCTCTCCCTCTCCATCTCCCTTTCCGTCTCCTCCTCCTCCTCTTCTTCCTCCTCCTCCTCTTCCGCCTCCTCCTCCTCCGCCTCAACCTCCGCCTCTTCCTCCTCGTCGTCCTCATCCTCTTCCT